GACGGTGTCGGAATAGGCTAAAATTTGGCAGGTTGATGGGAAACAAAAATTGCGCCGGGGGCAATTTTGTCATTTTTCGCGACAGTGTCGGAATTAGCTGAAATTTTCAAGGTTGACTGGAAACAAATATCACGTCGAGTGCAATTTCGTCATTTTTACTACAGTGTCGGATTGGGCTACAATTTGACAGGTTGATCGGAAACAAAAATCGCGCCAGGGGCAATTACGTCATTTTTCGAGACGGTGTCGGTATGGACAAATATTTCACAGGTTGATCGGAAATAAAAATTGCGCCAAGGGCAATTTCGCCATTTTTCGCGACGGTGTCGGAATGGGTTATAATGTGACAGGTTGATCGGAGACAAAAATCGCTCCAGGGGCAATTTCGTCATTTTTCGCGACGATGTCGGAATGGGCTAAAATATGACAGGTTGATCGGAAACAAAAATCGCGCCAGGGGTAATTTCGTCAATTTTTTCGATGGTGTCGAAATGGGCCGAAATTTGGCAGGTTGACTGGAAACAAAAATCACGCCGGGGGCAATTTCGTCATTTCTCGCGACGGTGTCAGAATGGGCTAAAATATGACAGCATGATCAGAAACAAAAATCGCGCAAAGGGCAATTTCATCATTTTTCGCGACGGTGTAGGAATGGGCTAAAATTTGACGGGTTGATCGGAAACAAAATCCGCGCCAGCGGCAATTTCGTCATTTTTCGCGATGGTGTCGAAATGGGCTAAAATTTGACAGATTGATCAGAAACAAAAATTGTGCCTGGGGCAATTTCGTAATTTTTCACGACGGTGTCAGAATTGGCTAAAATTTGGCAGGTTGATTAGAAATAAAAATCGCGTTGGGGGCAATTTCGTCATTTTTTGTGACGATATCGGAATGGGCTACAATTTGACAGGTTAATCGTAAACAAAAACCGCGCCAGGGGCAATTTCGTCATTTTTCGCGACGGTGTCGGAATGGGCTAAAATTTGACAGGTTGATTGGAAACAGAAATCGCGCCAGGGCAATTGCTTCATTTTTCACGACGGTGCCAGAATGAGCAGAAATTTGGCAGGTTGATGGGGAACAAAAATTGCGCCGGGGGCAATTTCGTCATTTTTCGCGACGGTGTCGGAATGGGCTAAAATTTGACAAGTTGATCAGTAACAAAAACCATGACTGGGGCAATTTCGTCATTTTTTGCGACGGTGTCGGAATTGGCTAAAATTTGAGAGATTGATCGGAAACAAAAAATCGCGCCTGGGGTAATTTCGTCATTTTTCGCGACGGCGTCGGTTTGGACAAATATTTGACAGGTTGATCGGAAAAAAAATCGCGCCAGGGGCAATTTCGCCATTTTTCGCCACGGTGTCGGAATGGGTTATAATGTGACAGGTTTATCGGAGACAAAAATCGAGCCAGGGGCAATTTCGTCATTTTTCGCGATCGTGTCGAAATGGGCCAAAATTTGGCAGGTTGACCGGAAACAAAAATCGCGCCGGGGGCAATTTCGTTATTTTTCGCGATGGTGTCGAAATGGGCTAAAATTTGACAGGTTGATCGGAAAAAGAAACCTCGCCTAGGGCAATTTCGTCATTTTTCACGAAGATGTCGGAATGGTTGGCAGGTTGATTGCAAAGAAAAATCGTACCGAGGGCAATTTCGTCATTTTTAGCGACGGTGTCGGAATGGGCTAATATTTGACAGGTTGATCGGAAACAGAAACCGCGCCNTATGCATAAATTGTCAGTAGACTTTCGAGTTCTCTATGAGAGACGAATTTCCACAGCAATTTAAGAAGACCTAAGATGGATTTGTCGCTTGGTCACCGATATACACCATAAGAGAAGAATGGTATGCAATATTTATTTATTTGTTATATATAATGGTGTATGAAAATTGTGTGTATTTTACTGGGTATTTTTAAATGCTCACTATTGTAATAATTTTATAGGTTAGTTCGGGTCGATTTGATTTATGGCGGGATGGTGATGCATGCTACCAAGTGGATCGAAGAAAAAGTAAAAAATAAATATTAAGTTTTTTTTTATTTCTTTGAATTTATAAGTAGGTTTGAAGTTTAAACTTCAAAGTCATGTTATTTGATTGGTTAATTGAACATATTTATTTTTTTAAAGATACAATTTTTCATGTTTAGTTTAAATTTATAGATATTTCAACAGTTTATTTTTAAAGGAATTCATTTTTATCGTTCCATATTTAATACAAAGAAAAGTAAATATTTGGTAATGCTTCAAAATGTATGAAAATTTGGGATGTTACAGCTTGACATCAGAGCACGACTTCCTATTGACATCTTTAAAAAAAAAATTTATTTCAAACCGTTCCAAATTTAAAAAAAAAATTCTCCTTTTGGAAACTTTTATTTTAAGAAAATCCTATTTTAGGAAATTGTTTTTAAAATATATATATATGAAAATATTAAAAATTCATGGGCAATGTAAAATTTTTAAAGTCTTAAACAAATAATGATATGAAAAATTCTTGGCACGCGACGCTCATTATTCCACCACTCTCCAATTGACCAAGGCATGAAGTGATATTACTCTTTTATTATGATTATGAGTTTTCTTACTTCATGTTATGTACTATTATAAGTATGTCAAGGATTCAAAACTTTTCAACTAATTGAGGTAATTTCAACGACGAAATTCTTTTAAGGAAAGGAGATTGTAATGTCCCGAAAATTTTATAGAATAAAATTTATTTGTTCTATATGCTATTTATCTCTATTTTGAAAGTTAAGAGACTAAAGTGAAATAGTTTAATTTTAAATTTTATTTTGAGCAAATAATTAGATTTTGATAGAGGAAAAAATAAGTTTATCAATATTAGACTCTTTTTGTAGCTCATATTTAATTAGAAATCTTCAATACGAGAAAAAAAGTTATTTTGAATTAGACTACACTAAGTTAAGTCCGATTAAAAGAATAGTATTAGTAGGTTAATTGAGTTGGTGGGGGCTTAAAATATTAATTAAGAAAAATTCTTTTCCTCTTTTAATTCCTACTACACATGATTTATATGAAATCCATATTATAGTACAATTCAAATTTCTTTCTGAACCCAAGTCCAAGTTGGCCATATGTCTTATTTTCAACGAGATGATTGTACTAGGAAACGAATAGTAGAGTTTACTATTAACTTTATTATTTGAAACTAATTCTTATCCAAATTCTTATTATTACACAATTTTTTAATTTCAGTTGCATACAAATTCAATTGAGAATTTCAACTATAAATACTGTAAGAATTCCCATTATTTCACCACAAAAAAATAAAGCGAGTCATGGTAGAGAGAAGGGAGAGAATAAAGGATAGAAAAATAGAGAAGATTTTTTTACGTACAAGATTTTATTCTTTCCAACATTTCAATGACGAGGTAAGATACTTATGTGCAAGTAATTCATTTTCTTATGCTTTTATATATTCAATTAAATATGTATGAATTGTCGGTGGACATTCGGGTTTTTTATAAAGAGATGAATTTCTACGGGAATTTATGAGGACCTGAGATGGATGTTGCTTGATCATTGATATACTCCATAAAAGAAGAGTGTTATGAAGTGTTTATTTATTTGTTATATATACTGGTATATAAAAATTGCATGTATTTTACTGGGTATTTTTAAATGCTCACTATTACAATAATTTTACAAGTTAGTTTAGATCTGGATCTGTGGCGGGATGGTGATGCAGGCTGCCAAGTTGATCGAAGAAAAAGTAAAAAAAAAATAATAATAAGTTTTTTTTTTCTATTTTGAATTTATTAATTGGTTTAAAGTTCAAACTTCAAAATCATGTTAAT